TTTATAAAGGTAAAAACTTCAAAAAAATAGATTATTTTTTTTTAAGACTTTATTTAGTGGGTAGCCACCTTAAGTTTAAACTCAATTCATTGTTTAAATATGGAATGCTTCATTTTCCGAAATTAGTTTTATAATATGGTGTCGAATTAAATTATCGTTTCTTAAATTGCATTTGTTTTTATCTTTTAATCTATGGAATGGAATGGAATTTTTTTTTTTACCGTTTCATATCTCATTTTAAATCAAATGTTAAAATGATAGATTCTTAACGGTTTGCGAATTATTCTACAATTAAATAATTTGTTAGTTAACTTAAGTCTAATTTGAACGTGTGTAATTTGCGGAATATATTGTAAGAATATTTCAAAAATGAGGAATTATAGTTTCACGAAATAAAATACTTGATTTTCCAAAAATATTTACATAAAATGGTTGCCGAATTAAACTATTGTTTTAACTTAAACATTTTGAAATTTGCTAATTTGTCTACGAATATTGTTAACTTTAGCCGTATCATTTGCTTCTGGGGAACGTAGTTTCTCCAAAGAAAGTTTATTAATGTTTTTAATGATTTAAGAATATTTCGTAGATCTTGCTATGATATCAATAAAAATGTATACTGTTAGTCTAAAGTCATTACCACGTATCTCAAAAAACAAAAACATAGCATCAGTTCAGCTTTTCAGGTGAAGCAAAAAACTGAACTGATGCTATGATTGAAAACTCAAAGTTATAAAAACTCAAAGTTCAATAAAACTCGGAACTCCTTTTTTTTCCCCATTCTTTAATTTTTGTTTTAGCAAAAAAAAATTAAGATAAATTACAATATAAAAGTATCGAAACCATAAAATTGCATTTTTTTAAATAGGTTGCCATTACGCGACGATACGTACTTCGTTAAAATATGGCGATTTAATTATCAGTTATGCTGAAATGAAAACTAGGCGAGTAAACTTTAAATAAACGAGTTTTTTTTTTTTAATTTAATTTTATTTAGGTGCCCCAAGAAATCCTTACAGTCTTATCACAGAGCACCACAGATGAGCATTTAATTGGAAGTTCATGCATCCTTCCTAACCGATGTCGCAAGACTTGTTCAGAGGTGGGATTTGAACCCCGGATCCTTTGTTTCTGAGGCAAATGCGTTACCACTTCTGACTTAAAAAAAATAAAAAACATCAAAAAAAATAATTATAAAAAAATATTATTTTTGTAACAGTAAATATGTAAATATCTCATCACTCTTCCCGGTTTCCTCACCCCCGCGCTTATTTTATAGTATATACTTATTATCCACATTTATTATCGCAAATGTGTCCGAAATGAATTTATAAATTAAATTACAATGCTTTCTAGTGAATTAACAAACCATTATTGTCCTCCAGGTTGATATTTTATTGGGGAGGGGAAGGGGGCTCGTATTTGTAAAAGTTGTTGGTTTTAATTTCAACCCCATTTTAAGGCTCTTTGCATTTTGGTGTCAAAACATACCTGCTTTGACGTCAAAATATCACCACATCGCACGCACGTCTTTGCTTACTGAGCCTTTTAGTAGCAACAAATAATGAATTATAATTTACAGACTCCATTGAAAATCTCAATCAAGTCATTCATGAACGCTCTACGTCCAACTATCAAATTCACATTCATTATGGTTAAGACTTTATACAAAGCACTCTATAACTTAAATTCACCGACACCATGTGCTTCCTTTCGTTCTCACCAAACACATCAGGTTTTATCCATAACCAAGCAATGAGATACGACAGATTTACATCCGAACCCCAGATTATAACTACATTATCCGTTATATAACTCAGACTCAAAGCGTTTAGATTTATATAGAAATACTTTTTTTTTTACATTTGCCACGCATGGTGCTATCAATGAAACTACAAATTTCCTTAAGTGGCCCAACGCCAAACAAGGCATTATCTTAAAAGTTAGTGATTTGCTCTTTGAGAGCATTATTATATAAATATAGGTTTAAATATCTATAAAGCAGTCTCAAACTTTTGGACTGGTAACGATTTTTTTCTTACAGCTTGTCTGCCTCCTTTTTCCCACTACAGCTAAACTTTTTAATTTTTTTAAGAGACAGAGCCGTTAATTTTTCCGACCCAGACCAAAATAAACGGCTCTGCAAGGCTGCTGGGGTCAATGTTATAAAACTTTTTATCGACGTAAATGCTACCGGCGGAGTTTTTATTCTGGAATTTTTACAGCCGTAAATTTAGAGACGTAAAATGTTTTTTCATTCAATGTTATACAACTTTTACCGGCGTAAAATTTTGCAGATATCTACTATGCTCTGAATTTATTTTCGGAAATCTACAGTCCGAATCAATAACATAAAATTTGAGTTGAAAACATCAAAGTTAACAAAAATTAACAGTTTCTTATGGATTTGGACTTGAAATAGTAGAGATTTGAATTTTGTTGCTTTAGAATATTTGGCGAATCAGAGACAACCACGAGAAGTAAAACTGTTCAAACAGTATTTAAACTGTTAAGAACACAATTTTAAAGTAAAAAAATGGAATTGTCATTAATTTTTTACCCTACCCTACAACAAAATTTGTATAGCTTTTCTATAAAAATAACTTATCAGGATGGCCACATTAAATTTTTATTAGAAAAAAAGGATAATAGAGGAATTTAGAGGAGATTTTGCATTTAATCTAGAGGATTTTTTTCGCAAAAATACAAAATTTTGAATAAAAATAGAGGATTTTAGAGGACTTTTTTTTCAAGGTTTAATGCCTATGTTTCCACATAACTGGGGTTTGAACAGAGGTCAACGATGTCATTTTTTGTTAGATGACATGGATTTGCTAAAATTGATTTTTTACAACTTAATTCTCATTTCAGACGTTACGCAGTTTTGCAGACCATGAACTTTGAACATTATACTACCATCTAAATAAAAAAGAGGAGTTAAAGAGGAGACTTTATGATATTTTTAACTTTTTAGAGGATAATAGAGGGTTTTAGAGGAGGTTTTTGAAAAAAGGGGACTTTAGAGGATTTTAAAGGAGCTGTGGCCACCCTGCTTATACTATTTTCTATATAGAAGTTTCTTTAGACCAGAGTTGTTATTCCGTGGCCTTGACCTTGCCTTAAGACCAAAAACTAAGGCGTTGGCCTTGAAACTTTTTGCGTTGGCCTTGACCTTGATTCTTTTGGCCTTGGTCTTTATAATAAAATACATAAAACTAAAAAATTAAAAGTTTTTATTCTTTTTTTTACGTAATTAATTAGGTAATTAATCATTCTTTATTTTTTAAAATTGTGTTGATATAAATATAGAAAATCTATACACATTTTATATTATACAATCTATACACATAGAAACACATATTATACAATCTATACACATAGAAAATCTAAACACATAGAAAAAATAGGAAAATTTGCATAAACAAACTTTTAAAAAAAATGACTTTAAATATTAAATAATTAAAAGAACCATTCACCAACTCAAATTCTTATAACAAAAATTTATTTAGACACAAATAAACATTTAAACATAAAACTCTTTTGATACTTTCTGATTAGAATTTTATCTATATATATATAAGTAAAATCACTTATCTAGTTTTATTCTTCAACAAAGTGTTTCTCCATCAGTAGGTTCATGAGGAAGGTTTATCAGTAGGTTCAATAGTTGATCAGACTTCCTGATAAACCTACTGATGGAGAAACAAGCTCTCGAAGATAAAAATTAGATAAGTGTTTTTACTAATTTATTATTGCTCTGTTCTTTAAGAACATTGAGCACTCTCTCTCTATATATATTTCTCTCTCTCTCTCTCTCTCTCTCTCTCTCTCTCTATATATATATATATATATATATATATATATATATATATATATATATATATATATATATATATATATATATATATAAATGTATAAAATTGTTTTTGCCTCAATGTTTTTAATTAACTTTCAAATTTTCAGTGATCAAAACAAATCAAATCAAATATATTCTGAATAAAGTTGAAACATCGAGGTTATTTGCGAATTATAATAAGTAGTAATATGAAATAAACAACAGTAAAACTCAATAATAATAACATGATACTAATATTGTTAGCATCATTTTATTATTATTGAAGTATTATTAATAATAATTATAATGTAAGTAGGAGTAAATAAAAATAATAGTTGTAATAACAGCGATTAAAAGTAATAGTAAAGATTATAAAAAGTATACACTATACTATTTTAATAATAATAAAAACAAAAATAACAGTAAAAATAACAACAACAATAATAATAACAATAATAACAACAGTAATATAACAAAAACAGTATTAAAAAAAAAATTATGACAATATTTAGAACAGTAAGAATCATAATATTTATAATGATAAAAGTATTGTAATAATATATTTTTTGTTAAATTAAAGAAGTTTAACAAAAAATATTAAATCACAACAGAAAAGAAAAAAATTAGATAAATAGAAGCTCAGAATTAGGATTATAAATAATAAGTTGAATGAAAGTATAAAATTTATAAGCAATATTTTTCTAAAAAGTAGTTATTGAGAGCAGTTTTAAATTTTGAGAATGAATTACATTTCTTACATGACAAATTCAGTGAAAAAATATTAACAAAGAAATCGCTTGAAATTAAAATTTACCAAGAAATGTGCACTTAATTAAAATGAATGAATTTGTATTAAGTTTTCAACTTAAGGTAAATACTTTGAAAAGTACTTACCTTGAGTTGAAAACCACAGGTTTCTACAACTAAATATTCATACCTCTGGATCTTCAACAAAAATTTCCGTAGGTCGCTCCTCCGGAACATTTATCGACTGTAAACGTTTCGGCTGTAGAAATTTATCGACGGTAATTTTGAAAAAATTTTTATAACATTGAAACAAACCATTTACGCCGATAAAATTTACAGCCGGTAGCATTTTACGCCGATAAAAAGTTTTATAACATTGACCCTTGGAGATAAATATATAAATAGATAAATCAAAAACTTTTCAAACAGAGTAAATATATTTCAAAAATAAGAACACAGTTTTACAAACTTTTTTTGTTTTAATCAAAATCATGACACCGTTTTATACAAATTTCACTTCAAAAATTTCCACATAACAAAAGTGTTATAATACATTAATAAAGTAGCATTGTTCCCAACTTCATTGTTCCCATCTTGATAATTTAATAGCCATTTATTTTGCATTATAATCAAGAAATGCTTAAATTTAGGGTCAAAACCTACTGTTTGTTTATTTTTCTACAAAAAAAGCATCCAAGGGACACCGGACAGTTATCAAACAAAGTTCTATTTACAACAGATTTCCGTTCCAGATCCAATGGAACTATTTTCTAAGATATATTAGCTCATTTTAGTAATCTACAGCTAAGTATAATCAAAACCTCTGCAAAAAGTCATATATCTAAACAACGTATTGACAGAGTAATCCTTTAATGGTTTTGAATTGTCTTTTGAATTCCAAACCATCACCCTAAGAAAAAATAACTAACTATATATATATATACATATACATATACATACATTAGAGTTATGATTTTTTTACTTTTTTAAAAATAATTAATTTTCTGTCCTAAACCGATGAACTTTTGCTCAAAAGTAATAAAAATAGGTTTCGTTCTGATTATTTTTCAAAAACCTACGACACGAAATTTTTAAAATTGTATATAAAAAACCTTATGGAACTTTCGAGAATTTTCTAGATTGTTTAGGAAGTTTTTGGAAATCTCTGAAACTTTTTAGAATTTTCTGGAGTAAGAATGACGAGTGGATATGCAGTGAGAACAAAAAATTGTATCATCTTCAGATTCAAAGCAAAGGAGCGGTCGGGTATACAACTGGGAAGGCTGCTAGTTCAAAAACTATTCATCCATAAAAAGTAAAGAACAAAAATGTCCTGGAAGCCTACTTCAACTAAAGTAACGGCAACAACAATAACGTCAAATTCCGAATCAAGAGTCTAAAGATTCAGAAGAACAGTCCAGAAGTACCAGCAAGCACTACAGCAAAACCAAAAAATGCAACCAAAATTAATAACATATTGAATGTTATCAACCAGCAAAGCAGCAACCATTTGTCGACAGTTATCTCAAGATTAGACCTTATTAAGATATTTTAGTATGTTTGTGAGAGTTATAAAAAAGAGATGTGAATTGGCAAAAGATGATTTGTTATTGGGATCTATTGACAGCTGTTTTTCACTAAGAAGTAATGACTGCTTTTTACTCTCACATGAAAGTAAGCAAATCGTTTTGTACCGTTCAGTTAAAAAATGGATTTGAAGTGAATTTTGGTAACTGCGAGAAATAATGTAACTAGATTTAACATGTTGTACAAGAAAGTTTTTTATTCGTGCCTAAACTGCTTAATTAAAGATTACCATCTCATGTAAATATCAAAAAAAAAAAAACAAGTGCAACATAACATTTGCTTTAAATGATTTCAAAAGTTGGAAAAAATTTATTGCTCTCGTCACACATGCTAATATCACAAAGTGTCTGTTGAAATAATGTTTACACAAAATCAATCGAGCAAGGCCTACTTAAATACACAGTCTTCTATTCTGCGTAAATGGAAAAAAAATAGAAGGCTAGTTAAAAAAACGCATATTTTGTCGGACGGACAAACTTTCTCAAAATATTGTAATTATTGCGCTATAAATTTTAAGTAAGCAAATCTGGCACTTGATAAAAATTAATCGTCTTAATCGAAACATTTACTAAACTTGACTAAACTTTGCTTACCTAATCTTCTTTTTAGTAATAATAATAATAATGCTGTGTTTATAGAAAACAACACAACATTTATTAACCTTCATAATTATATATTACAAAAATTATTTTAAAAAGACATCAGTTAGATTTGTCAGTAGAAATTTTGGGATATTCAAGGACTGTACAAGAAATAAGAACAAATTCTCAAAAATAAGCTTTAAAAGTATAAAAAAATTATACACAAACTGATTTAAAATGTAAAACAAAATACTTTTATTTTTTTCTGTGTCTTTTTATAAAGGCAACAATGTTATCTGTAACAATGGAATCTCTGACTCTCTTTCTGATGTTATTAAAATAAATATTTGAAATAACAGTGTGTATAATTTCTTTTCCACAATTTTGGTGATTTAAACATGAAAATGGTTGGTAACCTTCTCTACTGCCATAAACTAACTTTGCTGATTTACGGTGTCACATTCGAGACTAATAAATAACATCAAATACATGATCTAACATAGCAAAACTGTCACAGACATATTCTAAAAGTGCTAATGATGGAGTTGTTAGCCTACCTCTGGACAATTTATTTAGATAATTATAATCATTCAACTCCTGTTGACAATTTTGAGTACAAAGCAATTTGCAACATATTTTAAACATCTTAATCAGTTTTTTGGCAATAAAACAAGCAATATAACTGGCAACTTCACGAGAAATATCTGATTAAATCACACAATCTTAAATCACACTCTTTCTTTGATTTGATCCATCAAGAATCTAGCATGTTGTGTACCTTCAACAACATCAATATCATTTTCAAAAATTTAAATTCCTTTCTTTATTAAACTTTTGGATTAAATTTGGATTATCTTCTTACTACAAATAACGTCTTTCAAACTGACAAGGAACCTGCCACCATTCATTTGATGGTATTGTCCCAATCTTCTTTCTAACTGATTTATATTGACTTTTGGAATTCAAAAGTAACAAAGTTCTTTGTAGTACCGATGATGTTTGAGGAGATAATGTACATTTCTCAAAATCTGGAATTTTAGTGTTTTTCCATTTATTTATCTAGTCAGTAAAAACTTGTATAAACTTTTTACCGTTAATAATATTATGTATATTACCATATATAATATACAGCGAATGTTACCTTTAATAATAATCAGCAAACGCTTGAAAATATTTTTTACCTTTAATAATAGCAGCATTTCCAAGGCAGTTATTAAAAACTGATTTTTTGAATTTGTAAATATCCATTATTGAAAAGTATCTTTATCTATTATAAAGTATTAATATCTAAACGATCAGAAAATAATGGTTTTCTTGCTGCTGCTGTAGTTTCATGGAAGATACCTAAAGCAACAGTGAAATTTTGCTTGTAGTTTCCAGGATGGACAACTTTGTTATCTATCCCCTTCGTACACATAGAATGTGTTTAAAACTTTTTTTTTTGATAAAACAAATGCACTAGACCTCCTTATGGGGTATGTAAAATTTTATTAAAATATTAATTTTATTAAATTATAAAATAGGACTGGTATGCACAAATGTAAACATCGTGTTTCAATTATTGTTTTGCTTAAGTTTTATAGTAAAAAATGAACAAAATGAATTGTGTGCGTTTGTACACATGGTGTACAAAGGGGCTATTTTCTGTGCTTTTTTATAAAAAAAAGTTTGACATGAAGATTTTTTTCATTACAAATAGATTGAGAAACTTCAGGTATGTGTAGTTCATTTTAAATAATTATATGGAACATGACACAATCATCAAAATGAATATCCTGTTGGTGAATCAGCAACAGAATTAAGGACTTCAATAACATTATTTGATAAAAACTTCTGATATTCATCTTCTCAGAAAATTATTTTAGTTAGCGATTTTCTTGGTAAAGACATAACTGGAAGTGAAGCTGTTGCTATGCTAGCCAGATATATTGTAGAAACAGGATTCAAATTATACAACAAACATAATCTTTATGTTGATGCTCCTTTGTGAATTAAATTTTCAACAAAATGTTTTGAACAGATCAGTTAATGACAGTCAAGGAATTTCTGTTTATAAATCTAACCCATAACTTATTCAAATCATTGTCTATTAAAAAATCAAAAACTGGGACTACTTCACCGCCATTATAATTAGATTCACAACTAACAACATAGCATTTATTAACCATTAATATAATTAATAACGAAACAAGTAGCCACAAATAACAGTACAAAGTTTGGCGAACTTTAGTAGAGATTGCTGTTAATCCAACGCAAAAACTTTTATCCAGTTCCAGATTTTACTTACTTAAAAGTTAAAGCACATTAGTTAAAATATTTTGAGAAAGTTTGTCTATCCAATGGAATATGCATTTTTTTAACTAGCCTTCTATTTTTTTCGATTTAAGCAGAAGAGAAGGCCGTGTATTTAAGTAGGCTATGATTACAACTGTTACTCAAAAAAAAATATCAAATCTTCTGATAAATAAAAGAAACTTTTAATTTGGTTGTCAAAGACTTTTATTCAAACGGAAACAACTTAATATTTACGAAAAGTCAAGAAGTGTTAGAAATGTTACAAATGTTATAAATTGATCTATTGATTATTTTTATGAATTTGAAACATTTTTTCACTTTTGAAGAACTTCAACTCTGATGTTATTTTTCATGATTGATTTTTGAAAAACTTTAACTCTAAAGTTTTCATGATTGATTTTTGAAGAACTTTAACTCTGAAGTTATTTTTCATGATTAATTTTTTAAGAACATTTTTTTTGATTGATTGGTTTTAACTTTTGTTGCATAACTTTGCTTCTAAACAATGAATAATAGCTTACAAACTTTTCATACAAATTTTGTGGCAAAACACTTTAAAATCTTGAAATTAAAACCCATTTGCTTTCATTGTTTATTACTATTCATTATTTGACTTTTACAATTCAAAGTTATTAATTAGTTGATAAGAAAAAAAAAATTAAAAAAGTTAAATATAAAAAAAGAAATAATAACAAACCTTGGATAACCTAAAATCAACAAGTAGCGGACGCTGATTAATTTCTATGAGGTTTGTTAAGTAAGTTAAGGTATGTTTTCTTCTGTCGTGGCTTGTAATTCGAATCTAAGTATATAAAATATGTGCAAAAACTATTAGATATAAGATAGGGTGAACTAAGCCCCTATTTGTATGCTTAGGTAAATTGAAATAAATACTTAAAATTTTAGTTCACTTTTATCAAAGAAAAGTAAATTTGGGTCAAACTTAGGGTATTTGTAATATATTATATGAGAATCTAATTTTTTTAATACCTATATTAGTTTTAATGTCAACATTAGAACAATAGAAAATGCTAAAAAAAGACCATAATGACAACATCTTCATAATGAAGTTAACCCTTTAATGCACAGCATCCATTTAAATGGACATTTTTCTGAGATCTGAGCTTAAGCTTTTATAAAAAAGTGACCACTATTATAAAAAAGTTAAAGTGTATTATCTAGAGCAGTATCTGTAGTTTATTAAAAAATATAGGTGTAATCCTGTTACCAAATTATTTTTTTTTTTTTACAAAAGGGCTTTTTGAAGTGATTGCAATGTGATGTAAGTTTGGCTTTGTTGTTGTGCTGCTTTTATGTTTTCTGAGTTTTGAACGAAAAATAAAACTTAATTTAAACTTTAAAGTTAAACTTGTTATTATTATTATTAAAGAAATAATTGATTATGCATAATACAATCATATTTCAGAAATAAATAGCATTTCACCGGCAACATTTAAAAAATCTTTAAAATGTCCATTTGAATAGATGCAATTAAGAAATAATTTTTTTTTTGCTTCTTTTTTACTGAGTTGTTATTTATGATAGTAACAACGTTGTTACTATCATAATACATATGATACATAAGGTTAGTAACAACGTTGTTACTACATGTATCATAACAATGTTGTATACACTTATTTGAACTCTTAGAACTTATTTGAAAATCAATATAAAAGCACATATACATATAAAATAAACAAAAATTTCAATGTAGAAAAACTTTTTTGTATTTTCTCCACTTAAATAGAATTTATGCATTCAAGAAAAAGACTATTGTTTAAACCACTTGTTGAATTTTTGGTGTATGTACCTCTCTGATAAATGGAGTCAATCGTATACGCGAAATATAATAAATGGAGTCAATCATATATGCGGAATATAATAAATTCCCAGGAACAAGCTGTACAAGTTGTGACCCTTATAATGTGCCATGACAAAAAGTGATCGTTGGTCATTTCTAATGAACAATTCAAGTTTTCAGTGTTGCAAATATGAGGAGTGCAATAAGAAAAACATAATATTAGTATCCCAAATAAAATTATATTAGTGTAGCTAATAATGTATGTTTTCAATTTTTTTACAAAGTATAATAAATGTAAGAATGCAATAAATTGTTTTCTCAAATTTTCCCTATATTATATTCATTTTATTCATTATATTCATTTAAAAGGTCGTTTTTTCCACTAAAGCAATGTAGCAAAAAAGTGTATGTAGCGATGCAGCAAATTGGCAAAAAACAATGGATTATGACAAGTATTTTAAGATACCTGTAAAAATATTGTAAAAATAGATTATGGTTAAAGCTTCTATGCATTAAAGGGTTAAGAAAAAATGAATAATTTGTAAGCAATAGTTTTTAAATAGATTTAGTAATTTGTAAAGCTTGAAGTTTCAAGTGTAACAAATGTGTAGAGCAAATGTGCAAAACAAATGTACAGAGCAAATGTACTAAATGAATGTGCTGAGCAAATGTGTAAAACAAATGCACAGGAGAAATGTACTGAATGAATGTGCAGAAAATGTGCTGAGCAAAGGTGCAAAGCAAATGCGCTAAACAAATTTACAGAGCAAATGTACTACACAAATCAGCAGAACAAATGTGCTGAGAAAATAAGCAGAACAATTGTGAAGAACAATTGTGCTAAATGAATGTGCAAAACAAATCTAAAAAACAAATGTGCAGAAATATAAATAAATTTAAAAAAATTGCAATTGTAGTTACAAGAAATTATTTGACATGCTTCATTATAACAAGAATATGATTTCATCATATCCTAACAATAACAATCTCCTGTTCAAGTGGCATATTGAGAAACTAACAGAGCAATATTAATTGAAAACCTGGTATCTATTCTTTATAGCACCTAATTTGTATTTTTAACAAAGTTTTTTTAAACTTTTTCTTAACTCTTAAATTTAACTCTGTAAAAATTGGTAAAACAACAACAAGTTACCAAATAATAATGAAAAAAGATCAAATAGCCTTAATTTTTTTTTCTCCTGAAAATTAAACTTTTAGAAGACATTTTTTTTTACAATTATTACAAGCATCCTAGTCATAGTGTTAAACTGATCCTATATTTGAACAGGAATGGCTCTTTAGTTGTGGTGAAAACTAATAAAAAAAACCTTATTTAATTGTATGTAACAGTAGAAGCTCATAAACCTTTAAATAGTAATGGTAGGATGGATTGATGGTTGGATTGAAATCTTTCTAGAGGTAGCATTATAATAACAAATAGTCCTGAGCTACAAAACAGGTGCCAGGAACATCATCCAGTTGTAAAAAAGTTACCTCATCTATAATCTCAAGTTTTAATAATAAAATGGCATTGAGAAAGCCCATTCAAACCATGTTAACCATTAACAAAATGCTTTAACAAAATAGCCAAATTTGTTTCTCTGACATGTTTAAAGTCCATTATACTTTGATGAAAGTGCTATCCTTGTTCATTTAAGTAAGCTCCAATGCTCTACTTGAATTTATGAAGTTGAGCATCAAAAACATAGTCTTTTGCGACATTCTGCATCTTATTTTGACGTAATTCGTTATGAGAATCTGAACCAACTATACATAGTTTTCGACCTTGTGATTATCTAAGAAGCCATGATTAACTGCAACAAAACTGTTCCAAATCACACTTTTCCATCCTGTTTTTATCCATCCAGGAGCTTGGCAAACCTGTTACATTCTATGATCTTGTGGTTCATCAAAGATACCAGCTGTGCTTTAGCCCCAGACAGCTTTAGGAAAAGACCTTGGAGGTACTTAAAACAATGCCAACCCTTGTCAGACAAATTAATTGATAAGACCTAGCTTGATGTGCATAAACATTTAATTACCGGTATAATACTGGTAATACCAGTATAATCTTTTTTTTTTTAGATTTATTATAATATGAATAAAATCTCAAGTTAATAGCAAAAATTTATTTAATTCAATAAGCTTATTTATTTTATATCAAAGTTTCTAACTTTTTCATTTTTCGCTTTTTTCTCCTTTGTAAAATGAACCCGTAAGAAACATAGGGCGTATCATCCTCAAGAGATGGTTGCAATTTTGTGACAACGTTGCCACTTTCTGATTATTCACACTCCAATACTTCAACACTTGTAGACTTCACAGAGTTTAAGTATTCGTAGGAATTTTGCAAATATATGCCACAATTTCTACCTTCTTTGAAAACTGCCATCTCATTACATATAACTTTTGATAAATTATTTGAAACACTCAAACTTACCTTGTTGTTACATTTCTTAGTTTTCAATATTGCAAAGTTAGGCTTTTCTTTCGATGACAAGTTTACAGCGTTGCAACCAGAATCGCTATCATAATTATTTATTACGCACTTTCTGATTAAGTCAATCATTTAGTCAAGCAATGGTATTTACAATGACTGATTTGCAAAGGTGCTCAAAAAATAGCGCTGGATCCAAATTCTTGTAATGTCGATGACCCTTAGGCAGATATTGTAGTAAGCTGGAAAAAGATATATGTCACTCATTAAATTGTCGCTTTTAACTTAACAAGTAAATAGGTTTCTCGAAGATTATCTATCATGAACAAAGGTTGATCAGTGACTTGCGATTGCAATTTTTCAATTTTACAAAACATTCGAGCATTGTGTGCAAGCTACTACAGCGAGTTTTGGAGTCAAGTATTAGTGGAAGGCCTTTACAAAATTCATCTAATGTGCATTTTTGATGTGTAAGATCATTCTTTGTTGGAGAATGGCAAAACAACTTCACAACAGAACACACTTTATTGATTAACAGCTGTAAATCATCAGTCAGTTCAATAGAGTCATTCTTTTCACTCATTACAACTTGAAACCCACCGGAAAAGTCTTCATTGGTTTTGCTTGAGTCATTGTCAGTATTTCTATTCTCATCACTTTCACTGTTATTGTTGTAATTGCATATTACTTCTATGTTTTTTTTAAGCAGAAGTTGACGGTTTTTGTACAAAACACCTTGAACACCTAGTTAAATGCTATGCACAATGCACAACTGTTGATCACAATTACTTAAATGTCCCACTTTCTGCATTACAGAAGCACCATCAATAGTAATACATACAATGTCTTCATCGTAGTTCAACATAAACTGTGTCAACGCTTTTTGAACTAAATCAATGCATTTTTTAGCAGGCAGTGAACCAACAACTCTAGCTTATCAAAGGCTCCAAAATTCGTCCTTGTTGTGAACATTTACATTTAAATACCTACAAATTGTCATTGGCAATTTTGGAACAACGAACCCACAAGCTTCTAGCAGTATTCTCAGTTCTGCTGACGTAACAAATACGCTAAAAGGCAGTCCGTCAAGGGCAGTCAATCTAGAAAATACTGCATAAAGTTTTTTTAGTAAACGTAAATATAATTGCTGTTAATTCTATAACTTTACATGGCATACCATTGCCAAGTTACACCATGAATAACATTTTATAATCTATTATTTGACGTTTTTAAAAAATCAAAAATATTCCCAAGTTTTGAATTTCTTTTAATAAATGATAGTAAATTTCTATTAACATCGAGTTGGAATTAGCACTATATTCCATTCAAATTTCCATTTTGTTTCAATGTGTGCTAGGTTAAAATAGTAAACATTCCTTTATAGAAACCAGCTGTAACAACTTCTAATTTTTCAATCTTTACGTTGGTGCAAAACTCAAACATGTGTTCTACATTAAAGCAAGTAATGTAATGATAACTTTTTAAATCTTTGTTAATAAAATGAAGACAAAATTTTACTTTTAAATTAAACAAGTTTTATCTTTGACTAAATACTTTTGATAAT